ATAAACACATTTCATTACACCAAATACACTAAATAATGTTCTTTTTAGCAACGTCATATGACCCCTTTAAACCACCTGCACTTAGATCCACAACTCAGCCTGTTTCCTTCAGCCTCCACATATAACAACTACAGTAAGTAGGTCCGTAAGGGTACTAAAAATTAGTGGTCGACCGATATGTGTTTTTTGACAGTCGATGCCAATATCTTGGAAAGCAGAGTGGCCGATGGCCGATATAAAGCCGATATAATTTCATTTATTTTCATTAATATTCAAGAAATTTGAAATCATTTGAAAATGGAGCACACAGTGAAAAGGACATGAATATGACAGTGGGCAAATGCATAAAGCGCAGCATAATTTGAAATCACGAATTTAATGTTTAAAGCATTCGATTTGTACGGACCGACCGTCACGCAGAGAACACGCGATCATGCAGGATACAATTGCGCACTTCACACGATCTCACAGCTGGATTCAACTAAGTTTGCAAGGTTGGTGAAATTAAATGTTCATTAGTCATTCAAAGATTTGTTTAAATTATATAAATGCGTATTTGCTGAATGCTGACGGCAAACGAGAAAGTATTATAATTTTTGCCTTTCTATTACTAATAATATAATACATTGTATACATTTATTCCTTTGTTTAACCGTTCTATCTGATTATTAGACATCTATCCGTATTAGACAGAAACAATAATGTACAGTATGTGGAAAATAATGTGTTTTTTGAACCTTAAACCGCATAAACACATTTCATTACACCAAATAATTTTCTTTTTAGCAGCATCATATGACCCCTTTAACGACGATGGCGAACAAGAGGGAGAATGTGTGCACTGCCGCTGTCAGCGCCGTCAAAATAAAAGTCCTGCCTCGAACGCGTCGGCCAAACAGAAAAACTTATCGGCCGATGCCGATATTTGAAAAAAATATCGGACGATATATCGGCCTTGGCGATATATCGGTCAACCACTACTAAAAATCATCTTAATTTTCATTATGCAATATATACAGTATGCAATACATATTTCCTCACTTTTATCCTCCATATGATTTTGGGTTGAAACATGACCTGGACATGTTTGTGTTAACTTGATGTACACATACTAGGTACTTAATGGTACACAAACATAAAATTAAACAATTAAATGAAAAAACAAAAAACACAAACACACCTATATTATTTCCTGGTCTGTCATTGAATGGGGTGGTCACAATATCTTGCAGAAGGGTCTCACTGTTGCTATGACGATTGAGGAGGAAGCGCACTTTTGGATCTTCACTGTACATCACCACCCCCATCTGGAGTATTACAAGCACTTTATTCACACTGACCAGCTCAATGCCTCATGCACTCTGTCAGAAGAGGGCACTCTCCTGGCAGTGTTTTTTGGAGACATAAAAATGTATTAAAAATTGGAACACCACATTAAGATAGTACCAATAGAACTGCACCTGGGAGTCTCTGGGTCCGATGGAGGTTAAGGATCCAGCAGAACTGGCAAGCAGAGACAACACAGGTCCCACCAGGCCAGAGCGATCACGAGACGCGGGGACAAGGAAGACAACATCCAAACGCCCACCCACACACACTAAAACGTGGATTTATTAAACATATTAAGTGAGGAATACAGCAGAAGAGTAACTAGAACAATGTTGAAAATCATTTAATCATTTATGCAAACATTTATTCATATCAGCTTCACAGACATGAACTCTTGACTTAAAAATAAGGATGGTGCAAATCATCTATGGGAACATTTCTTTATAAATGAAAATGACATTTATTGCACAGTGATAGTGTGAAAGTACAACATGACATCAAGCACCATGATCATCTGTCAGTCTCTGTAACTTCCCAAACGAAAAGTGCTAGCAGGGAGAGCATGTAGTGAGAGAAAAATCTCCCTGTGACTGACCAGTGTAATGGTATGTTATTCACTGTATTCTCATTGCAGGCTATAATTTGCCTTAACTTCAAAGTCAAAAGTACTGTATAAAAAATAATTCACACAAAAGGTTTCACCAGAAGAGTCAGATCTGTATTTTTTTTTCAAACAGTAAAAAAATTAACGATAAGTTAAATCTGTTATGTTTATGCTAAACACAAATGCATTTAAACTAAGCTGTCTATTTAATGTCAATTTGGTGTGATTAATTTTGGAAAAAATATCACTTTAAAATTATCCCCCGCCCTGGCCCAGACCTGTACGCCATCTTAGATTGAATGCAGTTGCTGATGAACATGACGCAGGACAACAATTGACTGTGTAATGTAGCCTATGAAAACGCAGTTATACCGTATGTTCCTAAAATTCATGATATGATGGCAAAAATATCATTGTATAGCATTGTTTTTGTCTTAAATTTGTCATATGATGCCGTTTATCAATACCACATAAGCAAGATTGCTGTTTAAAAATAGTTTGAAACAAAGACACAGCAGAACTGTTGTGCCATTCTGAGCAACACGCAGCATCGTTTCATTACTGAATAAATCCACGTTTTTGAATGAATCGAGTGAGCCAATGAGTGAGCCATTTCTGAATGAATCAGCCATTTTAACAAATTGGTTTTATGAATGACTGAATGACTCACTCATTAAGACAGTGAATTGGCACCACCTACTGGCGAATTTATTTTCATATTTAGAATATCATTTAAATTTTTTTAAATATAATTTCTAGTGCTGGGCAATGATTAATCGCATCCAAAATAAAAGTTTTTGTTTCTATATGTGTGTGTACTGTGCATATTTATTATGTACATATAAAGACACACATACAGTATATATTTTGAAAATATTTACATGTGTATTTACATGTATATATTTATATTCATATAATTTATATTACATATAAATGTATTTAATATAGAAACATATTTTTCTTAAATATATACATGCATGTGTGTGTATTCATATATACATAATAAATATACACAGTACACACACATATAATATGTACACAAAAACTTTTATTTTGGATGTGATTAATCACGATAAATCGTTGCCCAGCACTAATAATTTCATTTCAATATTAATTTAAAAAACATTAATATCCATCTATTTTCATTATTTAAGCAATGCTGAATCAACATATTTCTTTCTAAAGCTACTTTTTAGTAATATCTATTCAATACTGTTCTCATTAAAAAAATACTTTTAATTATCTATTGGGGGGGGGGTTTCAGCCAAAATTAACATGTGATTAATTAATCAGCATATCATGTAATTAATTAGATTAAATAATTTAATCACTTGACAGCCCTAAATTAAACACTAAAACAAGTACTTTAATTAGTTAAAATACCAATAATATAGTATAATTTATTTAAATTATTCTTAAAAAGTAGACTACATGCACAGGTCATCTGGAGTCCTAACATGTGTTTTATGCCATTATCTTTAACAATCAGTTAATTAAATGTTCATCTAAACTGTTTAATTTGGACAGATTAGATATTAAAAAATGTATTTCAATTTGCCTATAGTTGGAAGAGAAAGAGACAGAAACTGTATAACCTGTGCGCTCCTTCACGCTGGTCTCAGGTCCAACCTGGTTTTGGAAGGTGGGCTGCAGGGTGAAACTGTACAGACGGCCCAGTCGTAGACCTGTCACACGGTAAGAAGTGGCTGTACCAGGCAGCGTTTCAGACTGACCCGTTCCTGTGTCTGAAGAAAGAGAGAATTTAACACTAAAAAGTGCATTCAACTATAATTGTGCTTCTGATCCTTAAACCACACACTACCAGTTCCTAAACTTTCAGAAAAATCACCTTCTTCCTCTGTCCAGCGTAAAATATATCCTGTGGCTCCTGTTACTGGTGACCAGCCTAAAAGGACTGAATTCTCAGTACTGTCAGTCACACTCAAACCAGTCACAGGTGGCAGGGCATCTAAAAAAAGAGATATATTGAATAAAAGAGTCTGGAGAAAGACAGAGATCAAATTTGAGATACAATCTGGCGTGTGTACCAGTGGTTGCTCTGATGGTGGTGGCTTCAGTTTCTTGACCGTCCACCACAGCAGACAATCTTACAGTGTAGCTCAGACCAGGTCGAAGTCCATCGAGGGTGTATGAAGTTGCATCGCCACTAATCAGACGACTTGATTCAGGTTCACCTAGTCAAAGCAAGCATATAACAACATAAAGTTAGTTGAGTCTGGTTCGTGTGTGTGGTTACATGTGTGACTGTATAACTACCTTGTGAGGACCTCCAGTAGATTCGATATGAGCTGGCACCACTCACTGCTCTCCAGGTTATACGGAGCCCCCCTGGGGTCGAGTCCAAAACACGCAGACCCTCTACTCTTGTCCCTCTCTGGCCCCCTGTACAACAAACAGTGATATCAATACACTTTTGTAAGGAAACATCTCTGATGAATTTGATCTTATCTTTAGCCAAGCCACAATAAAAGATAATAAAATAACACACAAACAATAATTTGTGTTCATGTCTTTATTTTGTACACTGTGTAAATATTAATTCTGTGGAATAGAAATGTATGTAAATAAATGAGAAATCGATATTGTAAACCCAGCCCTAGAGAATACGGATTAATGACTTCTCCATATAAGTACATTTGACTTGAAACAGAGAAACAAACATCACAGACAAACAGCACTCACCCGTAGTGACTCTGACAGAGACAGGTGGGCCTTCTCTGTTCCGAACTAGAGCCAGAACCTTCACTTCATACTGTGCCCCTTCATCCAACTGCCTCAGATCCACTGAGTTCACGTTACCACCAACTAGCTGACTCCGCTCCTCTCCACCTACAATCGCACTCACAGTTTTATTTTTATATGATGGCTGAGGCTTTCTTTTGACTTCTATAGTCTACATAATTTATGAGCTGTGGCCCCTGGAGGTCACACACCCTTGTATTTTTAGATTCTCAATAAGACAAATAAGAAAACTGAGATATCAATATTTTCTTTCCTATAGGATATGGCACTTACACTCAGCTATGTGAGCATTTACATTAAAATCACTATAAGATCTCACCATCAGTCCTTTTCCAGAGTACTCTGTATGAAGTCGCATTTTGAACTCCAACCCAGCTGACTCGAACAACCTCCCCTTGGGCCTCCACCACCTGTAAATTGGTGACGCGACCCACCATGGCCTGATCTAAAGCATAGAATCAGGATAGAGTCAGCCATTCAGACTAAAAAAATACACTGAGATTAAACCTTGCTTACTGCTGAAAGCTCAGAAATTACTAATCTTTAAAGTCGGCATAAAACTGAAATTGCAATCTTCTTTTCTTCCTTGTTGTGACCCCTAGTAAAAAAGTAATATATTTAAAATACATTTATTTCATACTAAGTATAGTTCAAAACTATTAACATATTTACTGACATATCGCTCGAGACTTACTGATGCAAAATTATAATTCATCTTCCTTTGGAGTACTACTTGTATACAACGCATATTTCTTAATATTAAGCCTAAAATGTGTTTTAATGTCACTATTGATGAGGATTGTATGATCTTTGAATAATATCGGCCTTTAAATGCAAAATATTTAAAGTGTACCTAAAGTATACTTGCAATAGTTCCACTTTAGCACAATCAAATACTTCTGTATATCTTTGGTTGGACTTCAGCACTACTGTACTTCCGCAATTAAATCAAATTAGTTGTTCCAATTTAGCAGGCTTTAAATATAGCAGTTTAGTATACCAAAAGTACAATTGCAGGGTATTTTTTAAGTACAAAAATATGCAAATGTATAGGTTTATGTATATATTGATTTTGTCCATTGTAAATTGATTAGATAGTATGATCTTTCTATAGGTTAAATAGATTAAAATACGGGTACGCAAGTTAACAGGTTAAAGTATCAGTTTTGATGTCCATATTTATTCATCATACTGTTGAACTTGACAGTATTTTCTCTCTTGTTATTTCATAGGGAGCTTCAAAGAAGACAGAGAAAGTCTCAGGCCATCTGTGACCTGAAGAAGAAGAAGTGAAAAGTGAAAATGCATGTGCCCTGTGTTTATCAGTATCCTTATGTTCATTGGGTAAAAAGAACAACTAAATAAACAAAGTAAAAATTCATTTGGCTGATTCCCCAATGTTTCTATAGATATCGCGATATAACGATATCATGAATTCTTTTGGCCACAATAACCGTGGTGTGAAAAATCTAATATCGTGACAGCCCTACTTTATAATAAACACTGTAATATTCCATAAAAAATAAGAATTATCTATTTTAATTTCATGCTGACTTTAAGCATTTAAAGGTCCATGCATATGGTTAACTGAATATATCAAAATGCAAAAAGACAACAACTACCTGTCCTTGCAGTCACAGTGGCAGAAGGTCCTTCCCGAGAGTTAAAAAGGGCTGAGACTAATATTTGGTAGGCTGCACCCTCCTGGAGTCTATCAATGGCATAGGAAGCCACATCAGCGGGTACAATCTCAGAGTCTTCCACTCCTACAATGTAAAAAGAAAAAAAATATTTTCCATGCCCATGTTAGCATAAATTTATTGCACTCAAGGTATAGTTGTCCATACCATCACTTCGCCGCCAGATTATTTTATAGCCCGTTGCTCGAGTCACTGGAGTCCAGGATATTTCTATCCTTGCAGATGTTACTTCAATGACTCTTAGCCCTGTAACAATTCCAGTAGAACCACTGGTTCTTGTAGACACAGAGACCACTTCTCCAGTCTGCCCATCAATCACTGGGGCAACACCCACAACAACAGAATCATCTGGCTGCAGCCCGTCTATAGTGTAGGTAGTGACATCACCACCTAGGACACGAGATTGCTCTGCAGCTAAAACAGAAAGAGAGAGCAGTTGACAGATTAAAACCAACATAAGTTTTGTGATATCAATTAAAAAAGAAAGAAAACCCAAATCTTTGCATAAACACGTCTACATACTGTTGCTTTGTCTCCAGGTAACCTGGTAGCCTGTTGCCTCTGAAACACCAGTCCATGCAATCCTGACTCGTCGACTGTTGCTCCCAACTATCCGCAAGTTGGTCACCCTCAGTGGCGGTTCTGTTTAACATTCAGTTACTAGCAGTTATTTTCTGACATAATATATTCCCATTAAGTTACCCTACAGAGTATCTTTAGTAGTATTTACATTTTTATGGAACAATTTAGGCACCTGATATAACTTGGACAATTTAAAAACACAACCTCACTTGCACATCAGAAAAAGTATGCATGCACACACCTGTTACGATGTACACTGTTGCTGGTTCCCCTTCACTGGATCCAATAAGTGCATTTACACTGACAGCATAGCGTACACCATCTTCAAGATCCCGTAGGTCAAAGGTGGTCTGATTCCCAGGAACTCTTCTGTTCACCTCTGCATTTGCTGTAAAAGATGGGTAAACCAATTCAAACAATCATTATAGCGGCACATCTCTTTAATGAAAATCTCATGAATGTACTCAGATTCCAGATATTCAAATAGTTGTATCTCGGCCAAATATTGTCCTATCCTAACAAACCATACATCAATGGAAAGCTTATTTATTCTTTCAGATGATGTATAGATCTCAATTTCAAAAAATTTACCCTTATGACTGGTTTTGTGGTCCAGGGTCACATATATCCCAAAACAACACTTTAATGATATACTGTCATACTGTATTTGTATTTAAAGGAAATAATATTCTCACATTCTGTATTAAGAATGATGATGTTGTATTGTGTTGCCCCAGAGACTCCTGTCCATCCTAATCGAATAATGTTTCCGAGTGAATCCACCACCCTCAGGTTCGTGACAGGACCAACTTGCTGCTCTACTAAACACAACCCATGCGTCAGCATATTACATGAAAGGTATGCAAGACAGAAACAAAAACATTGACCATCACGTTTTCACAAACTTGTTTAATGCAGTTTGAATTTAAAAAAAACTCGGAAATTGTCCAATTGTCAGTTTTAAAAAAGACTATAATAATACCTTGAGTAATGAAAAGAAAAAGCTGCATTCAATTAAAGATTTCCACTACTGGTCTCCCCAGTGTCTTTTTAACTGCAATATTGATATTTAAAACACTATCATATTGTAATTCATCAAATAATTTTTCTGACCTGTTGGCTTGGTTGAAAAGAAAGTAGCTTCTTCTCGCCCCTCGTAGAGTGTGTATAGAGTTATGATGTACTCTGTGTTCGGCTGCAGACTTCTGAGCTCATAGTTGGTGGTGCTTTTTGGGAACTCTTGCTTCTGAACTCTGCCTCCTACGGTCAGCAGGATCACATAAAGATCATAAAAAAAGTGTTACACAACAATTGTTCTACAGTCATACTGTACATAGTTTGCTTGTGTATTTTTTTCTTGTTGCTGTAGTCACTTTTATTTTTGTTTTGTAGTCTGCAAAGTTTATGTTTCAGTTCATTATTCATGTAAAATTAGTTGTATGTATGCAGATTGTTCATATTAGATAAAAATGTATTGCAAACACCCCTTTAACTGTTCAGGCTGATCATGCTTATTTTTTCCATGTAACGTTGCAACTATTGGGTTCCAAGTAAATTTCCATAAATTACCATAATCATCCAACTAATGCATGTATGTATTTTTAGAGTCATTTACTGTGTTATGGCAGAAAATGATCTAAATGCAGCGTTGTATTTTAAGATTTTACTGTTCCATTTTTTACAATCCTGGCAATTTTTACAGTGTGTTTGTGTGCTTTAGTTTCATACTCTCTCCGGCTTTCCATTCCAGTCGGTAGCCTCTGGCGGCCTGTATGAGGTTCCAGTTTAATCTGATGCTGGTGGGTCCCGTAGTCGTGGCTCTCAGTACCTGTTGCTCTGAGCGCTCTGAAAGCCAAATGCATTAAACACCTTTTAGCTTTATCTCCCCTCCTGTCCCATAAAATATTAAAACAATGACTTCCATCTTTCTGAACTTTATGTCCTGTTATATTTATAGACAGTTACTGCCTCCTTTCTCTTAGTCTCTCGCGCTAACATGTATGCGCATATACAAACACCCTCACGCATTCGATTGCTGCAGTCTGTGAGTCATAAGACAAAAAACAGTTCTTCTGTTCTGATCTAGCAGACAGTGAGTCAATGGCAAAATTGAAGGCAAACACCTCACTGTCTGTGTATGATAAATGTGCGCAAGATGGAAAAAAGACACATCTTGTTTCCTGTTATGCTGTCTTAAATTTTCTCTCTGCACGCTTCTTAACTAAAGACCATCTGCGCATGGTCTACTAAATACACAACTCTCCAAATGAACACTCTAGACACTAACTGGGCTTCTGAAAGAGAAGAAGAGTATTTAGATTATTTATTTTATTAAGTGGTTTATTTTAGAAATATTGCCTAAACTATTTCTTGCAGAAATCATTTCCAAATCAGTGCATGCCTTTTAAAAATGTTCTCTGTCCTGATGTACAATTTACTGAAGATATGTCTGCATGTGTATCTGTGTACCTATCTTAAAACGTGCAGTGGCTGCTGGTCCTTCAGCTTCTCCATTGTACAGAGCGATGACTGTAACAATGTACTCTATGTCTGGTCTCAGATTCCCCAGAGTGTGAGATTCACTATCACCTCCCAGTTCTACGGTCTCCGCATCACTTCCTGAAAGAGACATATACAAAAAGACTCTGCAGAAAACAGGAATCTGATAAAAACACAATGTGAAATCATATCTGACCTAAAGCACTCATAGACATCCTCATTGGGTGATTCATCACTTTATGAGTGCATTTCATTAAAAAGAGCCTCTTCAAAAATGTGCTGACCTGTGAAAGGGCCCCAAACAACTCTATATCCTCTGGCCCCCACCACTCCCGTCCAGCGGACTCGAACACTGTTGCTTGAGATAGTCTCAACGGAAAGCTGCTGCACTCCCTCTAAACGCACTGCAAACACAGGCACATACAAAGACAGAGCTTTATATATTAGGATGAACACTTTAGTGATGCAGGAGGAGAAAACAGTGTGTGATTGTGTCAGTGTGTTTTCATATACACTACCTTTTAAAAGTATAGGGTTGGTAAGATTTAATATTTTTTAAAGAAGTCTCTAATACTCACCATTTATTTGATTTAAGATACAGTAATATTGTGAAATATTGTTACAGTTTTGGCAATGATGGCAAAGCTGAATTTTCAGCAGCAATTACTCCAGTACTCAGTGTCACATGATTAGTGTTAATAAATATATTTTGTGGAAACAACAGCATTTATTTGAGATAGTAAAGTTTTTTAACATTATGAATGTCTGTCACTTTTGATCAATTTAATGCATCTTTGGTGAATAAAAGTATTAATTTCTTTAAAACAAACAGAAAAATTCTTACTGACCCCAAAATTTTGAACGGTAGTACTCACATGTGCGGGCAGTCAGGGTAGCTGGTGAGGCACTGTTACGGGGAAACAGTGGGTACAAGTTGATCACATATTCTGTGTCTGACTTAAGACTGACCAAAGTCAGAGAAGTAGACTCTGTCCCCACAGATTGTTCCAGCAGCTGTGCAGCAGGCTGACCTGTTAATAAATCAATCAGGAAAATCAATTAGCATAAGTTATGAATTATGCCATGCAGAAAAAATGACTAACAATGTTTTCAACTATGGCTCGCAGTGTGCAAATACTGTACTAAACTCAGGAATAACCAGATTAAATCAGTCTGACAAATCCTTTACTGAATGAACTCATCCATCAGCATGGCTGCTTATTTACAGTAGGTCATGACTCACTTAATAAGCTGCAAGCCCAACGTCAATGCATCATTAATTCAATGGACCATTTTCACAGACTGTGATTATTATTTTTTTTGAATATTTTTAACATTTTTTTAATTTATTTTTTTTTAATTTAATGTACATTTATACTTTGTATTATATTACCTTGGCATTAAATTACAAGGAAAAGGTAACACTGCCACAGAAGTGTTTCTAATACTGATGGAGGGTCAACAGTTTAAACATCCTCAAAAAATTAAGGGCATTAAATTAAAAATGTTTCCTTTAATTTCGTTCTCTCCCAAGACAGTAGAGTGCAATGAGCCCACACATGAAAAAAAATAGTCAAAATGAGAAAAAGAGAAGAAACCCAACTTCAATATTTATAGTAATAAAAAAAAAAAACAATGCATATCAACAGCTACTCCACTCAGCAGTCCCAGACTAACTGGCTGAAAATTTATACACATGGGTATCGCTATCTGGTGCGCCCCCAGAGGTTAGGACGATTCCAAGGGCCTGACAAGGGAGAGGGGGTCCGAAACGTGATTGTTACTGAGGGGGAACCACCACCCCCACCCCAAATTATTTGAAACAAAGGATTCAAAGCTCTCGAAACAGCATTTTGAAAGCATCCATCACTAGCCGCCACCATGTATGCCAATCCAACTGAAAGTCAAGTTTGTTGAAGTTCTCATTTGTCTGAGAAACAACTGTTTAGTCGAGTGTGTGTGTATGCGTTCCAACAGCTCTACACCTCGCTGCCACATCAAGGTAAATAAAGAGTTTTTAAAAACCAAGTATGTTTTCATGTCTTTATACAAAGTGTGTTAGACGAGCAGAATCCGAGGAACAGAGAGCAGCTCCGTGACAGAGTAACAGCAAATGTGACATCTTTCTCTCTTCTGACTAACACAATCAATCTCTCAATATTTTGAAAAGCAAAAATGGTTTGTACATATATTAGAATGCTCTTACTCGCCTTAAAGGCAGGGTATGTGATTTTTCAAAAACACTTTAGAAAACTAAATCGGGCCGAATAGCAAAGCAAACTTGTAGCCAATCAGCAATAAGGGGCGTGTCTACTTGTGATGTGGAGGAGAGAGCTTTCAGTGTATGTGATGGACATTAGCCGAGCCGAGCGACAGAGAGATAGAGATAAAAAACTAAAGAGGAAAACGTCTGCGGAAGGATAAGGCAAGAAGTAGGACCCGTGTAAATATCGGATTAGCTTTCCAGCGCTGGAGAGAACTCAAGGAGCGGAGGCCTGCGATCGGACGCCGAGGTTGCTTTGTTTCTTCTCAATAGGTGAGTAACAACGTGTGTCTACAACAGCTAAAGTCTGCCTACACTGGACGCGATCAAACGACCGTTGAAAACCATTTGAAATTTGTGTCAGCACGTCATAAATAAAACCCGGCAGCAGTTTCCTTGCCGCGCCGCTCACGTCCGTAGACATGGTGTAACATTGGTTTTGCTTTGTTTCACAGAACTAATCGTTGCCGGGTTGAGTACGTATATGTGGGGCGGAGCTATCAAAATAGGGGCAAGACCCTTTTGGGGTAGGGGCATGTTTGTTTTGGTGATTTCAAATATCAACATTGGCTACCAGAAATCGCTTACTCTGCCTTTAATGCATTATCTCTTTATTTGTGTACCTTTTTATAGATTTTCATAACCAAGAAATACATTTTTTCTCATGTTTCATTTCAAAATGTTTTGGTACATCTTCAGAAACATTTGGGGGTTTGGTACAGTGGTAGCAGCTCAGCAACTCATACCAGCTGGCCAACCAAACACAGCATAGCATCAATATATGAGTCAGTTAATGACATAGTATAATTTTAAATCACAGTTTCAGCATCTATTCATCTGCATGCAACATTGGGCTAAGACAGGCAGGTTGAAACACCTTCCTCAAGCTTCAAAATCTAACCTGATTAAACATAGGGCCACACCTAATCTGACAGATCTGTTCTCTGCCAGCTCACACCTGGATACCAACCAGGTAAAGCAAACTGGCACTCCTTTAAGCAATTGACAAAAATGCCTTGGGGAAACCAAAACGCACTCTTCCACCTCCCCATCTTCCTTTTATCAAACTGCTAAAATCATTAGTTAGTGGCGCTTGCTAAGGCCATAATCACTATTACTATTGCTCACACTTAGAATTAAGGGTTTGTTCAAATTCCTCAACTACTGTTTTACAGTGGACTGTTTGCAACAGAAATTAATGTTCAATCATGTGGCTTTTTGAAGAGACTTCTTCTTCTCTGAATGATCAGATCAAATTTTGAACATACTGTACAAACACTGCTCACATCTTCTTTAGAAAAATAATAAAACTACTATATATTACAGTGCTGCTTGGCCCAGTCATCCTTTTCTTCTTTATCTCTTACATATTTATCCTCCAGAATCTCTTTCACTGACTCACACTACAATTATGGTATTGACTATTCAAAGAGTAAAAACATTCCTGAAAAATGCAGTAGAAGTATGGATTATTGTCCATATGGAAGTGTGCCAGTCTCACCTATAGGTCCATAGGTGATTCTGTAACCCTGTACTTGGTCAGCTGGAGTGTCCCAGCCCAAAGCCAGTGTAAAAAACCCAGCCTGGATCAGTCGCAGTGCAGTCACACCTTGGAGAGGCTCTAGAGGGTAGTTTGGGGTAAGAGAGAGTGAGAGTTTTTTAAGAGATGCTGATTTAGATGACACATATTTCTGTTGTGTTCAGTTCTCACTTGTTCGGGTCTTGCCAGACACTGACTCTCCCAAGGTGTTTGGGTACTGAGCAATAACAGTGATCAGGTAGTCTGTGCCTGAACGCAGCTCTCGTGCAGTGTAGCTCTGCTGGTTGCTTGGTATGGTTTCCTGCAGGTAAAAATACTTTTCAGTGGAGACCAATATGCTACACTTTGTTTGATCCACTGTTGTTGTTGTTATTGTAAACTAAAACTAAAACTATGTAAACAATTTTGAGTAACTGAAATAAAGTTGAAATAAAAAATAAATAAATATTCAATGGAAAACTTAAACTTAAAAATGTAGCAAAACTAACTACATTGAGCTGAAGTACTAAAATTACTAAAACTTCAACTGGAATAAAAATACTAAAGCTATATAAAAATATAAATAAATAAAAACAAATTAAAAGACAAATCACATAATTAGCAAAAGCACATTAATAAATACCATGATAATAAATAAGTAATACTAAATTAACGCTGGTGTTAAAAAAAATTCAGTGACCCTTAAAATGTACAAAATATTTCAATACAAAATAATTAATTAATAGAGTTAAATAAATGCTGAGAAGTAGTCTCCTACCAGCCCTCTATGGACACCTTGGCAATTGAATCGCCATTGGCTAGTAAATTTTTTTGTTTACTCGCCAGACTGATAAAAAA